GATGTTCAATTTTTTGTTGTTGATTTGATATTCAATTTCCAAGTTTAATCATATTTAACCATACAAATGCAAGCTAAGTTTTTGTTCTGCTTGCTTTGAGCTTATCATCCTATTTTTCAAATAGTAATGATGTTGTGTGCAGCTATATTAGTAGTAGTAGTAGTAGTAGTAGTAGTAGTAGTAGTAGTAGTAGTAGTAGTAGTAGTAGTAGTATACATTTCCATACCACAGGAATCCAGGTACTAGTATCTGCTCAAATGCAGTTTCATTTTTTCCCTGATCAGTGGATCTGTTCGCATTCCGATTATCATTCTCAACTCTCTGGGGAGTATACAATATATTAATAGCAAACAAACATGGGTGATAGAAAATGCATGTGTCTACAGTTACAAGTATTATATAATATAAGTAACAAAAATAGCAATATTCAAACACTATCACAGCTGGGGACATCAGCTTCATTGTTGTGGGAATCAACCCTGGTGTTTGTCCTCACAAGTGAACATTTTTATCACTAGGCTATCCCACCAAACCTGGCAATTAGCTAAAGATGATTCAAGCATCCAAATAGCCTCCAAACTTTTCCTTTAATCCAGATTTGGCAAAACTGCATTTTATGAGATTTATGGAGTCTTATTACTTTGTTAAATGTACCAACATACCACCAATAAAACCTCTCAGTAAGATTTTCCAGTGATATGACTTAGTCCCACTGCAGGCCAGCACCGACCACTGGATGACCTACTCAAGCTCCGAATCAAAGTGGACGGTGGGATCGCCTAACAGCTTGTATCTCCTCAGTAAGAGGATAACTGGTTATGAAAGATGTGCATGAATACATTCAGACAAATCTTGTTGAATTTCCCATCGTGGGAGTATTCCAGACTTGAAAATCACAAACCTATGACAGGACAATGCTGCTAATCCCTTGGAAAGTCCCTTAAAGCTCTCCAGGGATATAGTTCCGTGATAAAGCATGACATCGTGTTCGTTTCTCCATTCACTATGGTGGATCTCATGTCACAACTAATCCCCTTCAGCTAACAGCATTTGATTTTGTAGCAGACAGATACATTTTAAATCAATATTGTATTGTATCATTATCAACAAGACTGAAATTTCATGTCATTCATGTTGATCTGTTGAATACCTTAGACCTCATGATGTTTTTACGATTTAGCTTTATATATCCATATGATCTATGCTGTTGATATCTGAAGCTAACAGAAAAATAGCAGGGATGGGTATTGGAGGTTTAAAGTGTATCACAATGTTTTGCGATGCACAAGGCTGTATTGCAATATGTATCACGGTATTTTGTATAATTCTAAATTTTGAATTCAGAAGCAATCTGATACATTAAGGTATGAACAGAAGTTCATAAACGGAACAAAACAAGATGCTGGTACAACATAATGTTTACTTGGTCAAGATGCTCGCTCCTGGGAAACGAAGGCATTTGGCAAGTATATAACATTAAACACATCATAAAAATTGTTGCTTTTTGAAATCACCCTAAAAAATGCATAAAAAATTACAATGTGATACGTACTGTGAAAAAAATGAACCTCGATTTACCGATATACCGATAATACCGCACATCCTTAATAATTAGATTCTAAAACGCTTGAAATTCAGATTTCGAATATCACTCAAAAACTGGATGATCAGCAAAGATATTTTACAAAGAGCGGACACCCACATTTGTCCTTTCAGATTTCAAGAGCAAAAAGAATCTAACCAACTGTTTATAACATCTGCATCAACAAAATCAAATCTGTTCAAATCAAGTGAATATCGCAAGTGAATCTTATTTGTAATGATAAAAAGGCAACATAGGAGAGTCAGGGTCATTTCCCCTTGCTAAATTGGATGCTCAACATCAAAGAAGCTTTTTTGTTAGTCCGTCCAAATGAAACCAGAGTAGACACATCAAAAGAGTTAAATGAATGAACTCCCCATATTTTATTCTCCACTGTGTAATGCAGATATATCTGGATGCCAAAGATACAGAGTTCTCGATGAATGGCATCATCTATCCCTTGACGGTTTGGATGAGTTCCTCTGATCACCTGTAGTGTATCACACAGGGTGCTCGTTAGTAACTTCACATAACGTCAGTGAACTGACTGACACTCTACTGAAGCCCTGCGTCTAGGATTGAGCAGGACCAGACTGACAAGACACAGATGACACAGCTTGGGACAGCATTTCACTCTTATCCCCATGTGTTAGCTCATACGAAAGAAAAACCCAGACTGACTTTTACCCTCTTTGTGCTTGGTTGGTTTGTTGTTTTACGCCGCACTCAGCAATATTCCAGCTGTATGGAATAATCGTGTCTGGACCAGACAATCCAGTGATTGATATCATGAGCATCATTCCACGTGATTGGTATCAATGACATTCTTCAACCAAGTCAGCGAGCCTGACCACCCGATCCTGTTAGTCGCCTCTTACGACAAGCATAGTCGACTTTTACGGCAAGAATGGGTTGCTGAAGACCTATCCTACCCCGGATCTTCATGGGTCGCCCTCTTTGTGAAACCCCCAAGCATGGCTGGCATTGTCAAGGCAAATCTGGGATTCAAACTCAGACCAGCAGCAGATCTGACAGGTAGGTATACAACTATCCACAGCAAATGTAATTAGTAAACCTTTACAAAAATAAAAGCTATGAATTATATCATGAGTCCGAGATCACACACAACTGAGATCATACATCTGACATATCAAATAGAATTAGCAAAAAGTGGATTTTGCTTCCGTTCATTTCTCACTCCTGTTACTGAGTCAGTATTGCAGGGGACTGGAGATTGATAACTTATGTCTGTGACAGATATTATCAATAGTGCCCACAATCCCTCCTACCATTTCCTTGTCTCTAAGCTGCACAGTAACATCTCTAATATGAACTACAGATTCATAATCTTGCGAAATGTTCCGACTGCTTAGTAACATAAAGAAATTAAATTAGGATCAATATTGCTGAAGATATTTGAGAGTGTAATCTACTTTTGCTATTAAACTCATCTTAGATGCACACAATTTGTATTGTGCATTCAAACACAGCATCAAAAAGAAAAGGTTTTGCTTGAATTTTGAACAGGTGTTGGTTATTTAGGAGTGCAATGTGAATGTTGAATTCCTATAGGGAGTTTTGTCGTAGTCACCAATATGGCAACCTCTTCATGAATAAATGGGAAAACAAAAGATCTTTCCCTGCTGGAAGAACAACTTTCCTTGGCTAATAGTCAACGAGGATGAAAACAAAATCAAGCAGTATGTGTATGTCCACTTGCAAGGAGTGAGTGAGTGAGTGAGTGAGTGAGTGAGTGAGTGAGTGAGTGAGTGAGTGAGTGAGTGAGTGAGTGAGAGTTGGGTTGGGTTTAACGCTGCTTTTAACATTATTCCAGTTATATCACGGCGTGTCAGCTTAATGTGGGAGGAAAGCCCAAAGTGATGCAAGTCTGAGACGTTTACTACTTCGGTGAAACCCATGAGCGCAGGTATGGCGCTGATAAACCTAGAAACATAAACGGGGTGAACTGGGATTCGAACCCACAATCATCGGTTTCTGGTGTGCCAAAGGGACACAACTCTGCACAGCGAATCGCGGCGACTTACATGAATGGGCCACCAGTACCCCCAACAGGTGCCAGACAAGTTCCATAAATATTCCAACGGGCCATCAAAATAAAATGAGTATAAATCATTCTCCACTGTAGTCATTTGTCTTAATTGTTCAGTCCATAGAAATACCTGGACTCACAACTTCTTAACCAGATTGGCAATATAATCACACTTGCCAATCCTTCCAGATTCTTGGAATTAATCTGAATTTTAACCACTGCTTTCTAACTGTAATTTTGTCTGTCAAAATGCCCTCTGAGTGCTGAACATATCATGGCAACCATTTGACAATAAAGGGAAAAAGTGTGTGGGTTTGATGTTGCTGTAGAAACAGTTACAGATCAGTTTGCAAAAGACATTAAAAAACTGAAACACGTGACACAAGGAAATCGTAGTTGAAAAAACCCACCAACGACATTGATTCATACAGAAACTGTAACATATCATTTTAAGCAACTGTTATGTGCAACAAACCTTTTTCAAACACTTAATGCTCCATGTATCCTTGTAATTTTGCCCATGACACAAATGTTCACAACCTTTCTTCTGTTCAGCCAGCAATTACATCTTTATTTACACCAATATAGACAAAAATTATGAAAAGAAAATTCTTAATGAAATAGTTTAACAAAATGAATTCTCATTATAAATATTTAAGTCATATCAAGAACAGATATCTTCAAAAATCCAATATCATTACTGTCACACTGATAGCACTTCAAAAACATGGCTGTGCATCGCAGCAATCATGACCATCCTCTGCAACAGCTTGCCTCGTCCCTGTGGAAAGTCTGTACGTAAGGGAGTACAAATTGTCTCTCAGTTAAGTTTCAGCTAATTCAATACAAAGGGAGCTAATGCAATCCTGTGTAATCGTGTGAGCGTATTCATCCATTATGTCGTCCGCTGCTCTCCGAGGTGATGGAAAAACTACAAAGCGCAAAGGTTGAGCAAATACGGTAGCTCCAAGAGTGCCTCAGATTCTTACAGTTTTTCTAGCCCTGTGAATAAATACAACTCTACAGATTGATCAGTGATCTTGGATTTAATTAGAAAGTGTCACATTTTTACAGTATATGCAATCAAGCATTGCAGTCTTAAGTGAGTTGAGTTTTAATTCAAATCACAAGGCAACGACTAAGAACAGAATTCATTAATCCCCATCCTCGAAACTCTTCGCCAATGAATCATTTAACTTCTGCCAGAGATCAAATCAATAGAAAACGATGCTTCAAAGAGTGAAAAAGAGAATTACAATTAACAGAGAGCACACTTTTAACAAATTCATTAGTTTTCTTCCTAAAACAGCTAATTACAAAGGAATCCTCAATTAACCCCAGACAACATTCCATCTTCTGCTAATCAATGCACCACAATATTACACAAGCACTTCATTCCCTCCTAAAACACAAGAAAGAGTCTCTTAATCTTGACAATCCCCTAACATACTGTAAGACTAGTTCTGCCTAACGACCAAGTAGTCCTAAGTGTCTCCCAACATCAATACAGCTCAATATTGACAGATCCATGGAATGGTAAACTAGTCCAGAATTGAAAAACGCCTTGGCGAGTCGCTGGTTGCTGGCGCTAGGGTAGTGCACTGCCACACCTACCAGCAGGTAACAGAGAACACACTACAGCCCTGATACAATGATAGCAGGCTGTACAGGGATGGGAGGCTATCGTCCTTAAAGATGAGGGCTCTGCAGTGTATCTCTCATTCATTCGCTGACTCCCAGCGTAGATAGTCACAAGGCCTGTAGTGCTGAAGAGTCTCTGGCTTCATGTATGCAGGATCTGTGTGCACGGGCAAATTTCCACCAGATTGTGTCATCCCATTACCATGCCGGAGGAGTGTTCATTACAAAATCAGTGATTTGTTAATTCGGCATTCAACGGATGTGTCTTGAAAAAGTCAATCGCTTTTAAAGCTGTGTTTGAAAATCATTCATGTAAATCAAATTCAGGTGAATATTTATAAAGTTTCATGCTTTTGGAAACAGTATAATGAACATTTGCGGTACCAGTGTTAATCTAATCAAGCTGGGCTATCAATGATATCAAACAGCCGTCATCCAGCCAGCTAGTAGAACTGGGTATCGGGCTATCTGAGGTAGCAATTAGAAGCTTCTACCAGAATAACCAGGGTTGTGTTGAAGTGTTGTGCCCTTGATTTACTATGAATAGCAAGGATAACATCTTTAGCATCCAATCATGCCAGCAGAGAAGATGGTCCATCTGACAGTTTAAGTGTCACAGCTTACACCAGCTACTGGTTTGCATTGGATTCACAACCTGTCACCAGAAGGAAGACTGCTTCGATAGCCTGGTGTCAGTCGGGTTCAATCTGGGATGAAAATGACAGGAATATTTCATTTTGGATTATAAAGCTGAGTAGATACCTAGATACCTGTGATGTACAGTATGAATGGTAGTCATGGAATTAACGACTGGAACCAGACAAGAGTTGCATATCTGACATGGAATTTAACAGAGAGGAATCAGACTCAAATAGCAGAGGAACCCAGCCTACGATGGGGTATCTTCGGGCTCCTCATCATCATACTGTTTTCAGCGATGGGCAACCTGCTGGTGTGTCTGGCCGTGTGCTGGGAGCGACGCCTCCAGAACATGACCAACTATTTCCTAATGTCGTTGGCCATCGCCGATTTCCTCGTCTCTCTACTTGTCATGCCTCTTGGCATGATCGTCGAGCTTTATGGTAAGTTGCAAATAAATATCATGACCCAGCAAAAACTTAACCTACAATTTTGACAGAAATTATTGCATCTCCATGAGCTAAAGCATAAAAGTTATAAATCTTCAAAAACAAAAAGTTAATTAACCCTTTTGGCAAGAAAAAAGGTTCACTCAACCCCATCATCCTGTATCAATTACATCACAATATTCATATCATTAAAATGATTCCATTTTAACTACCGCCATAATGACTTTCACTGTGTAGACAAATAATGGCTATAAATAGATTTAATACAATGTTATGTTTTAATGCAGCATTCTTATATAGTATTATCATTATCAACAACTATCCATTATAACAACAATATTTCAGTCAATGTGCAATGGTTTCGAAGTAACATTTATTACTTCATAATTCTCTTCTTGTCAACTTTCTATTACATCTTGTCAAGGGTTTGAAGAATGCATTTCCAATAATGTTCTCATAGATTACAAATATTTCTTGACATTTAACGCTCATGTATGACAAGGACAATGGATGTCACTGTCCTAGACAGTCTTCTAGAATGACAATCAAGGATGGGCAACAACCATCAATTACGTCACAGTAACAGCTGCTAGTGTCAATTAAAACTGGATTAATGTGACAGACAGCATATTACAAATAATTTCTGAAACTATCTGGCTACCATATCCGCTTTGCCTTGTCACATTATATAAAAAAAGGATATCTATTCACAAGTCTTTTCAAAGACCTTGAGTTTCGATAAACAATTGATGTTTCACAAAGTATTGAATTAAATGAAGGGATTTATTAAGATCATTAAAGCATCATAAATACCTGGTGCCATCATTATAATATTGCAATGATATGTGAGCGGAAGTAGATCAAAATATGTGTATAGCAGTAAACTGACTTAATAACATAAATTATGTTAATATTAGAAACTGTTTCAGTATTTGGTTTGGCTAGATGCTGTTAACAACTGAACACCCTGAATGTTTTCCATAAGGAAATCAGTAGATCTAGACATTGAAATCAGTGGTTGTCAAACCGTCCTATTGTCTCAGTCTGGGTGAGACTGCAGATTAATGCACTTCATCAAATGGGAGTTACACACACACAGGGGTTTTGAATGACTGCCAAAGGACCCAATCATTGTCTTCCTGTAACATACTAATACTCTTTAGAGTAAAACACAAAATATCAGCAATATCACCTCTTTCATCTCCAGGGCCCCGTTCCCCAAAGTGATCTCCTCACTAAAGTGATAGTAACTCCCATACTTTAACACAGGCTTACGACAGTAGTAGAGCTGAGATCACTTTGTGGAACGGGGCCCAAACCACCTACTGTGACAGGAACATCATATCTAGAACAGACATACTACTGATAAGTTCCCTTCTGATCTGGCAATTCCCAGCTTGATATCTCTGTATTCTGCCTCTCAACTAGTCATCTATTCTGGGGACAGCATCCAAACCTCAATAAAACCCTCCTTGACACAACCCCATACACCATTCTGACCAAAGCGTGTAACCAGGCAACAGAATGGCTTTTGAAACTTGTCAACAATTCATCAAGTATTCCTCCTTTAAGGATAATTAATGTGCAGGTAACCAGTTATTATTCAACACCGGTTCAATCCAAAACTTATCGACTTTTGAAGGGAAAAAATACAAAGCCTAAAAAAGCGAGAATCCCTGAATGCCCACTTCCTCAAGCTAAACAAATACAAGTTGTAAGTGTCCTCAAGCCTTTCATAGTGAAAGCTGGTTTCCTTCTGTGCCAAGACCAGAGCGTGGCTACTGACGAGGACGTTCCTTAACAAGTAGGAAACAGAACTGTTTCTATTTATGAGTAACTATTGATTTAGTTTGTAATATTGCTGAGGATATGAGTTCACCTCACCCAGCCCTGGGCCACCGTCTTTATAGGAAAGGCCGTCTTACAGATTCCCAATACACGTCACATCTGACATTTGGGATTTCATATGAGTGACGGAGATTTTTTAAATGATTCCCAGGAAGTTTTATTACAGGAATAAAACTTGTTTAGAGGTGTCAGTGATATTGGTTCTCTCTTCCTAAATGCATCATTCAAGTCTGGCTCATCTAATGTTTGCATTGATGGGCAAACAGTATGATGTAATTTGAGAAGCAGAATTTGAAGGAAAGAAAATGAAAAAAGAAAATTACTTCATGAAGAGAATAAAAAGTTGATAATAATTATGTTTTGCTTGAATTGTAGACTAATACATTTTAAACAAAGGTTCTTCTTTTATTGAATATTGAAACCCAAAATGATTGACCTCGAAGACCAACTAGAAATGTCAAACCTTAGAATTTATTACAAAATGATTGATCTGTTTCTTTAATACCATTGATGTAAAAGACAAAAATTGCTTTCTGGTCACATTTAAGAGTTCCCACGAGTTGTTCAGATCAATGTCTCCAGAGCTTGCTCATCATGGAAAGCCAAAGGGGATTTAACACAAGCAGATATCTGACTGTCCAGCGCTTGAGGACATACTGCGGTGTTGTCTGAGTAATGAATCAGACTGGTCAGCGATGTCCTTCCACTGTCCAGCAGAGCTGTCCACTCTCTTCTGTTAGTCATACCATACTGCAGATTCCCATATCCCAGCAGGCTTAGGCCAGATCCAGACTAAGCCCTCTTCATTAGCTTCATTTACGTCTCGATTTACACGCAGTGTAGCCACCTTACAATTGGGTTCTATCTATCGGTAGTGGACCAAAGTTGTTCCGTTTGCATGGTTTTCAAGAGGTTTGGGAATATCTTATCTATTTCCTTTATCTTATGGACACATATAACAAAGTCTTGATGATATTTGGGAGATGGAACAGGCCTTGAACTGCATGAACTGCATACAATCCCCACCCCACAATGTTTCTTAAATCTAAAAACTGATTTCCTGAAGTACACATTCCAGTATAAAAACTATACAAGAATTCTGTTTTATTGAATATCAGTCTTGTCATGTACTTATCTATTCTGTATTTCTGATCCCCAAAACCTCCATAATCGATCTGAAGAGGGATCCTTTTACCTCCTTCTCAACAGTTGAAATTGCGAGGTGGTAAGAAGATGCACTTGATGTTGACCCTCGCACATTCCCCGAGTCCCTACTTCACAATGCCTAAATAAATTATGGGGGAGAACCTCTCAGCACTCAGTGATACATCAACATACTCCCCAAACATTTCCGGATGGCACACACTGATGTTACAGGGTGCTCATAATGGAAGCAAGATTCTCATGAAGAAAATATCAAATATGCAGACTTGTCAGTTAAATGTAGCAAGCCTTGAACATTCCACAGCAATTTCATATTTTCTATCTAGAAATGTCATTCAGCAATACCAATCAATGTCTAACAGTTCTCTTTTGTTCAGACAAGATGCGTCCATGCATAACATGGTTGCATGAGTATTCTGAGACAGCATAGGAACTGACAGGATGCTCGCACAATCTAACTTCATAGGATCCATTCAAGCTAAACCAAATGGTTTAGTATTCTTTCATTATGTCTTTTTTACTTCACCGCCTCCAGCAAACATAACATAACTTTTTCAACACCCTAAACATCCTTACCATCAATATGTAGAATCATCTCCAGGGCCCAATTGCACAAAGCGATCTTAGCGCTAAGATGACCGTAACTCCCATACTTTAACATGGACTTAAGATAATCTTAACGCTAAGACGGTTTTGTGCAAGTGGGCCCAGCATATCAAAACAAAGATACCTCAGATACCACGATATGACAGTCCTCTGATGAACTTCAATACAATGTAAAGAGAAAACTAGTATCCATGAAGTAAAGGACACTTAGATTCATTAAAAAATAATAAAGTTTTTAAACAATTTTGGACCATCATCACAACTACTTCCCATGACTGTTTGCAAATTCATCTACTGTATTGTATTGATTGCTTTTATTGTGGCCGCAAAGAGAGCCCAGTTTGTCAGCCCTTGGTCATAAAGCACTCCCCAAGGAGGTCACACTCGGGTACAAACAAGACCTTTCAACGACTAGACAAGACTATGCTCTATCATCTAAACCCATGAAGGGTTCAACAAGGTCAGAAAGACATTGGAAACCCAATAGCCAAATATTGGATGAAACAGGTCCCTGCATCATCCCTAGGAGCACATTAACCACATACAGGCATGTAGATCATACCAAGTGCTGACAGGATCTTTCACTTATGTGGAAGATATTACTGCATGCATATACCCCAGGGGGAGTAATGACATGAGGACTGAGAGGTCACTCTGACATGCCACAGTTCTGGTAACTATACAAATTCTGGCAAAGTTGGCCAACCCCTAACAACTGTAAGTTGTGTTACACATTAACATTCTAGTGACTATGAATGGACCATTTGTGTCAAGAATTCAGAAGTTACAGATTGTTCCAATAAACTTTGCACTGAAGAAAACAAAATTTTATTTTATTTTATAATAACACTCAAAAAGGGAATACTTCTGTTTTGGTAACATGTTCTGCTGGTCAGTAGATCAGCATAAAAAAATATCTGATTAAAAAAAAGAAGAAGTAAGATAAGTATCTCGACACAATTGTCTGGGGTTGTCATTTATTAATTTTCAGAAAAGGATGTACACTTAAAATAATTGTTTTAGCCTCCCTCTAATTATACATGAGTGTTCGAGTCCATCAAAAGAACAATCATACACCTTCACTAACTGTACATTGGAACAAACGAATGTCGGGGCCAAAGACCTGAGGTGTACGCAAATGAACATTTAGGGTTGTGGGAATCACAATGGGCACTGAGACCGACTCCCTGAACTGACTGAAGCTGTAACACGGTGGTTCCTTTGATCTGCGTGTGATACCCCTATGAGTGTGTATGTTCCACCGATGAATCACCTCCATCTGACCGAAGGCCTTTTTAACTCATTCAAGCCCTCACCCAGGAGAGCCTTTCCAAACTGTCATAGACTCCAGGCCCCAAACTAACCCAATTATTCAT